TCAACTGGCCGCCAGTTGGTTGTGATTTTCTTCTGACCGGTTATCGGCTTACAGTTCTTGGAGTGGACCGGGCCAGAAATTCCAACTCCCCACTTGATACAAAGAACGACGAGTGGAAATTGTAATAAGATGATGCTTTTCCAAAGTTGGAAAACATTGCATATAGTGAGAAATTTGTTTAGCCAAAGTTTTGTTTGCTAATAAAATGAACTTATTTTTCGTAATCTCAATGTTATGATGAAATATGTACCGATATGAAAATGATTACAACAGATGAATAACAAATTTATGTATGGTAATGCTGCAATATTCAGCATATCTCATGATAGAATCATATAATATGGCCTTAATTGATCAAAATATGGATATTGGAACAAAAGAGAGATTCTTTATTTAAATCTTTCCAAATCTTACCAACACTCTGAATACAGGAGAAATACGAAGTAAAGGCTAACTAGAATGTATAATTGTTCATCTGAGATTCTAAAGAGAATTACAAAAATAAGCACAGCTTCAGCTTCGCTGAGATAGTTCATGCTTCTGAGTTACAGCAACTTCTGAATCTCATCCTGTGCAAGGAAAATGGTTGTGTCTAACAGAAAAGCGAACAAGAGATTTTTAAACCCTACACTTTCACGATTCATATCAAACCGTTCCAAAACAATGTGCTACTTAAGATCCCAAAGAAAGAGTACATTAGTATTATAGCCAAATTCCTTCAGAATGACCCCAAACAAGATGTAAGTATGAAAAAACCAGTTCGTTAAAGGTCAAAATTCCAACAAACCAAATATAATAAAATAAGAACTAACAAGTAATGCCATTCAGAGTTATATTCACCTGCAAGCCTAACTGCCCAACAGAGCAGTGTGAAGGTTGGTTCAATATAATGATAGAGATAGATTTGAGAAGTTAGGGTGATGAAGACAAAGAAACAACTCACAATCCAATAAACAACAAAGGATCCCATAAAAGATCACATAGATAAACTTGGACTCATTTGAAAAACTAGGCAGTGGCTAAGCAATAAAAATCCCCATTAAAACCTAATTACACATAACCAGACCAGATAATTTCATATGGTACACCAGAGTTAAGAGTTTGACCAAGAGATACCATTAAAATACTACCTTCGTTTCTTATTATGCGCAACAAATGGGTATTATTTGTGAGACATAAATTATTTCTTTGTTGCACATAATAAGAAACTGAGGTAGTATGTAATATTATGCAGATTAATTCCGAACATGGTCACAAACACTTATGACACAAGCTTGTCCTTAGGAGATATAGAAATCTGAACATCCCATTCATTACACTCAAAATGCAGTGGACTTAAAGAGTATTGTTAAGTTGAATTTCAGCCACAACTCAACTCAACAATCAGCCATGCCAATAAATATTTTTTCCTAATGTGATCCTTTTAAGCCTAGAAAAGAATGAATACATTTTAGAGAGAATCTTTCTCATTATAAATAATTGATATAAAATAATCCACATGATATTAAGTTATTGACAGGACAAAAAGGCATCAAGGAATGGGGGTTGTTCTGCAAAACTTGTGCTCTACTTACGGTTCAACAAACTACTATGATTAAATGCTAACAAATGAACATGAACAGGTTAATTAAATATCAGCAAACTACTTAAGGTTCAGCAGAATGCATCTTTCAAGGATTACTTGTTCAATTTGGAAATAAATTCCCTTATAGCATCACCTTAGTCGGCTACCATTTCAAGCTAAGAAAATGTTCTCCGGGATGGATTTGGATAGATCAAAACAAGAATGAGACTTTTTTTTTGTAATGTAAGATTTTATAGATTTCTCTCAGTTTGTGTAATCCTCATGAGACTACAAAGAAAACCAACAGTTGCATAAACTAAAATGTGATATTCAAAGTGTGAAGTTCACTGTTGTGCAGCATTTGAAACCAAACCAGGTTTCGACATGTCTATGAATCTAAGGCCGGATATAGAACAAATCTGAACCTACATTAACTACCCTGCATACAGCTATGCCAAAAAAATGTTCACATACAACAGAAACTAGAGATTGTGCTTCCTCATCAAGATCAAAAGTGACTACAAAAGTAAAAAGCAACTCTTATAAGTAGTTAAGTCAGCCAAAATAACAATATTGACAGTTGTAGGATGGTAATGATTTCAAGAATGCTTAATTATGTCCAGTCATGTCCCATGTACAAAATGGAACAATATTATAAGAATAAGATTTTCTCCCTCTATTTCCCAGCTGAAAGATAAGATGCAAACACACTCATCTGAGTTATCCCCCAACCCCACCCCAAACATACAAACTCTCAATTGCTTTACCAAACAATATACAAAGATATTGTAATCCTAATTTAAAGCTGACCTTTAATGAGCCAGCAGAACAGGTAATATATACTGCACCATCAATTTGTCAAAATCTTCTTTATCCAGGCTGGTTGAACAAGAGCAAAAAAAGTTGTACATTCCTAAAGAGGTCAGCAAATGCAGAACAAGCTGTGGCTCCCAGAAAGTCTAAGGATCGCATTAAGAAACCACCTCATGTTCAAAAAGAGTCAGCCAAGCATGGTATATATCTAGAATTCTTGCTCCAATCATATACATTGTGAGACCATTAAAGTTTAAACCAATTCAACGCCTCCTGCTGGCACTGAACTCATCTGCAGTGTTCTACCGTTGCCAGGTGCAAGAAACCGAACAGTGGGCAGTGAAGTTTCAGAAACAGATTCAATCTCAAGGAAATCAAAATCATAAGCACCAGAACGCTTCAAACTCCCAACAAAAACAAGAGCAATCCATCCTAACAATGTCAAAGCCCAGTAGTTGTTCATCCCATGAATCAAACCCCATCCAATAGCATACCCAACAATAATTCCTGACAAATGCCCAAGAAAACTTGCTTGAGGAACAATAATCGACGTGAAGATAAGCGATTCAAATGGTGCAAAACTAATAGGAAGAGAAAGAAGCCCAAACAAATTCAATTTAGAAGAAGGTTGCTTCACAGACAAAATCGTCATCCACCCAAAAACAACACAGGAGTACCCAACAGCCGTTACTCGTCGAAAATGCTCTAACTTTAGCTTATTAATCAGAATATGATAAGCCCATAACACCAAAACTCCAGATAATACAATCAACACAAGAGTGTAATGAAGATAAAACTGAAACCCAAGACCAATATCCCCTAATTGCTCCACAACACCAAGACTCCAAAGAGCACTCATATTAAACACAAGATGAATCACGCTAATATGCGCGAAGGCCGATGTAATTAACCTCCAATGATGCCCTTCAAGAGCAGTTTCATAGCTCAATCCAACCTGAGAATACCCAATATTTTTCTTTTGGATATAATACCAAATTGCACTGCAAATTGCTATGATACAACTAGTTGCTGGTTTTTCCAATATCTCATACATCAATGGCTTCCCCATTCTAAAAATAATTAAACCCTAGTTTTTCAACAAGATTAAGGGTAATCCCAGGTCATAAATTGCAATTAAACCCACTAAATTAAGCTTACGAATCACACAATCAAGGGTTTTACGCAAAATTTTTGAGAAATTAAATCCAAGAATCAATCAAGAGATCAAATTGTTAAGTAAAAATGGGTAAAGATTACAAATTTGAGAAAAGGGTACCAAGAAATGTACCTCAATTAACGAATTCCAATGAAATTTCAACTCCTATGAACAGATTAAGTGCAATCCGCAAAATTAATTGGGGTAATTTGTGTGTTGAAAATTAACAAGGGTTTTAAGTTTAAAATTAAAATAGCTGCAACAAAGAATTGAATCACTCGAAACAAGAGAGAAAAAGATGAAGAGAAAATAGGGGCACCGACGAAATTCTGGAAGTTATTTTTGATTGTGGCGTAAGCAATAAGCAGATGGTTCGAGAGTCTTCCGTACCTAACGATTGAAGGAAGTGGTATGTGCACCTCCCTACCTAGCCATGGCTAGGTTGATCGAGCCACGCCTATTTGGGCACATAGCCGGAATCGGACTATTGGTTGGAAGGTGTGAATCTTGTGATGAACATAATTAGATTTGGGTCGGGTTTTATTTGTCTTACAGAGTATATTAAGTAATTACTCCGTACTTTACAAAAAAAATAGGTTGATTGATGTACCAGCAAAAGGTTTAATTAATGAAAACATTAGAGATCTATTAAATACTCGGTAATTAAATTCAACTAACAAAACAAAGATGTTTTGAGTAAATACTCCGTATATAGCATTACGGAGTATAATAAATTGGTACGTTCACTATATTTCACTTTAATGTCACGAAGGGTTGTGGTATCTAAGACTCCTTATTTTTACAATTGATCATGGCACATAAAGCATTATGTGATCAAATCCACTCCCTCGATTTTTAAACGATTGACACATTAGTCTTTTTTTTTTTACTATTCATATACATATTGAACATGGTTTTTGTAATAACGTATAAAAAAACAAATTTACTATCATGCAATATATTGTTTAATAGGAATTAATATTCTTGATATCAAATTTTATTACGTTTTTTTAAAAAAAAAATTAGTTGTATATATGTAAGGTCAAATTAGTGCATTGACATAATGACATTGTCAAATTGACTGAAATATTTAGAAACGTATTAAGTAATAAAAATGTGTATAAATACCTTGCATATAAGACCTAATTTTTACATTTGAAATTAGGTAGCCCTTATTTTCATAACTTATAGCAATTATTTATTAATCAAATAATTTCACTCTCTTGGTTCACGTTCTCTAATTTAATCTCAATTTTTTTAATTTTTACTCAATCTTCATCATGCTCTTAGTTCACATTCTCTAGTCTAATTTAATCTCGATTTATTTTTTTAACTCAATCTTCATCATGCTCGTAGTTCACATTCTCTAGTTTAATCTTAACTATACGTGGAGTTTTATTGAATAATGATAAATACTTGGAGAATGGAAGTAATTGTTGATCATGTTGGACAGATAAAAGGGAAAACCAAGATTAATAAAAACTGTAAGTATAAAACTCCATAAAAACACAACCAATAAATTGTTCTTTAACTCTCCATAATATAAATGAAATAAAATTCTCAAAACCAATATCTATTGTGCGAAAAATCGCTTATTCTAAAACATTATTACGCGTAATAAATTTCTTGCAAGTAACTAATTTTACGTCTTCTTAATTTGGAGGGGGGAAGAAGATCTCATCAGAAGTCCTCTTCGATCGAAACTGCTGCTCGATTTCGGTAGGCACCTTAAAGGCTGCTTCTAGCACTTGTGGTGACAATGCCTTCCACACCGAAGTCTTCCCGGCCAAGTGTGTAAAAACAGGACTGCAAGCGCCACAAAAAAAAACATTTAAGTTACGTGTTAGAATTTCATGTCACATTTTAAATGTACGTATACTTTGCTTAAGGTAAGAAAAATAAACATAGAGAAATTCCTAATGTTGCGTATCAAAATATACCAAGGCAAAGAAGGTACTTACTTTGGGGTACTAATGATAGAAAACCACTCTAAACCTTCATCATCAGCAATCTTAGAAACCACAAAGAACCTAGGCACAATGAACAAATTTCCGGCCTTGACCGTGGTTTCCAACACCCTCTTACCATCAACCCCAACGACTTGCACTCGGCCACTCCCTCTAACAATGTAGGTCACTTGAAGGGCAGAGTCACAAGAGAACCCGGGCGAGCACATAGCCTTCCCATTGAGCCTAACAAGGTCAGCCCCAAGGCCAACCTCACCCACCAAAGGCAAGTTCTTAGTGTTCAACACTACAACTCTTCCTCCACCCTTGATGTCAACATCCAAAGGTGCTTCCTCGCAGTTCAACACCATCCCATCGCGGTGTTCCTTCCTTGGTTCGGGCATATTATGGGACTCATCAAGCTTGACTATGCCATTAGTTGGTTGGTTATTGACTAGGGTCTTGACTACATCCTCGGGTAAGTCCCATGCTCTCCCTACAAACTCGGGTGTGAATCCGGTGAAGATTCCATTGGCTCCGGTGAGGTGAAAATCAGTGAACTCACCGCGCTTGTGAGCCTTGGAGGTTTCACCTAAGAACAGGACAGTAAGTTCAGTGTCCTGTTTGTTGTACCACCATGTGACAACCCCGAAAGGCAGAGCAATTGCATCTCCCTTCTTGATTGCAATCACCTTCTCCTCTTTCTCAGGGAGTACAATTCCAGCTACTCCTTCACCTAATTATGTAACAAAAAATCATGTGTTAATGTTGCATAAATCATACCACTGAAGTATATATGTACAAAAATAGTAACAAAAAGGCGGTGTTAGGACACTATAATTGACAGCCTCTTGAATCAGAAAGTTACACTTTGAAACCAAAATAAGATCATCTTATGGAATTAAACAAGGTCTCATTATTATCAATATATAATCAAAGGATCAGGTCAGCACAAGCAATTAACAACGAGTCTAAAATTGACTTTGTTTGACCATGTAACACAAACAATTAACAACATCTAAATTACAAACTCTAACACTTTTCGTGTTACACTTTGTCATAATAGTACTAACATACGTAATTGGTCGAAAAATAATTGTGCAATAAACCTCTACATACGGTTTATAGATAATCATGTGTTATACTCGATCATATATTCATATGCAATCGTAATAACACTTGTAAAGAAGCAATTGTTCGTATTAATAAAAATTCGATGATGTTGAAAAAAATATAATAAATATTCAAGTTAAGTTAATCAATATAACAAGTATTGTATACAGTTATTCAAAAACTAATAATTATTACGGAGTACTAAAAATTTTAAACACCTTAATCTATATGAAATTACTAATACGTCAAATTTTGTAAACATTAATAATCCTAGGAAAAAAAAAAGTAAAAAAAAATTGAGGGTATTTCAAGAAAAGATTAATATTATACCTTGAAGAACATAAGCAACCTTGGAGGAATCGGAATAACGAGGAAGCGCGAAACCATGTTTGTTAAGAGAAATCATAGCGGCTCCAATGTCACCTTCCTTAAGCATGGGAAGTTCAGAGGGATTCCATGAATGGTAAGAACCGCCTTCGCCTCCATAGATCTTCTTTGACAACTTTGGGGACAAATCAAGCTCCATTATTTTTGGATTAACAAGAGAAAATAGAGAAGATTTTGAGGGTTTGATTTCTTAGAGGACAATTAAGTCAATGAAGAGGTACGTAAGAAAAAGAGAAGAATTAAGGGGGTATTTATAGGTTTAAATGGTCTAATAACAATTACATTATGATAAGGATTATGATAACTTGGATAAGAATATAAAATTTTAATTATGTAAAGTAATTTTAGATAATATTTCAATAATGATTTATTTTTGGGAGGATTCTACATTAAATAGGATTTTTAAAGTTTATTCTATATGGCCTTGGGGTAACGTTTTTAGTAGCAAATTCGGATAATTTTATATTAAGTTGGATAACCTATATATATTGAATATATGTTTTTAATTTAGACAAAATTGAAATTTAGTTAACGTATTTTAATATAAATATATTCGCCTAATTTGCATGATATCTAAACTTATTTAAGGTAGTTTTGGATAAAAATATTATTCACCTAATTTGCATGTATCTAAACTTAATTGAAATTATCTAAATTTTAATTAAGGCAATTTTGGATAAATATATTATTATTCACCTAATTTGCATATATTTTACCTTAATTACCTAAACTTATTTGGACATGTTGTAATGCCATGTAATCTAATCTTGTCTAATTTACAAAAATATAGACTTTGATGTTAAAGGAAACATTTTAAGATTAGAATTTTGATTTTCAATAACCCATACAAATTAAATTGATTGCTATATTTTGCTACTATTAAGCTAGGTGAATTGAATATACCTTTTCACCAATCAAGGCGTTAAGATGCAACCCTTGGTTACTATGGAGTATAAAATAAAATAAATGGTGTTGTGTCCAAGATAATATTATGGTATAAAAATAACGTATTATAGAATATAGAGTACAAATTTAAATGCAAGCCTACCATGCAACGATTAATAACTACCAAAGTGCCAAGATTTAATATTATAAACCTATCAATCACTATGAAATACAAAGTATGACTAATAAATTGACAACAATAATATTCTCATAGTTTTGTTTCTTAACAAAATTTAACATTATTATTTTTGTTCCTTACACAAAGTATATCACCATGTATACTCATAGGTAAACAACAAGGAACAAAGTGAGTAGTATTGGTTATGACGGATAAAATAAGTCATTTTTATTTGAATGAATTTAATTTAATCAATCATTTTTAAGTATAAGTTGATTAAATTAGTTAAATTTTACAAATAACTGATTAATGAGACACCAACCAATATTCAAACAAAGTAAAGTCTGTTTTGCCTTTTAGTTTCTTTATTGGTTTTTTAGTTCTCTTTGTCAAAAAAAACACAAACAATAACCAAACATTTAGAAAGGATAAATTCATATTTTTTGTATTTTTAATCACTAAGATACAGAGTAGGCTCTAACCTATCACACAAAACGACTAACCATCCCTTCATCTCCTACACAATAATCAACCAACATCATCAAGAAAATTGAGCAAATTTTCATATGCATTGCACTGACGAAAAAGTTAGAAAGATATTAGAGGCGGTTTTTTTTTTTTTAAAGGAAATTTTTAATTTATTTATTATAATATTATTTGTGATAATCTGGACATAATATGACATTGGCTTTTCCCGACTGATACTGTAATTTTTTGAATTATAACATGAGATTAGACATTTTATCCAATCTATGAGATTGGACAATTGTTATTCTAATGGCTTCATGTGTAGGTATAACATCAAAAATCAAGCACTAATTCAGCTAATTTAGTATATGAAACATAAAAACAAACGAAGGAAACAGCCCGACGTAGTATAAATCTAATAATATGCAGAAAATAAACAGATGTTACTGACACTGTTACAAAAAGCTGAATCACACGTTCCTAGAGTAACAAAAATGGAGTAGTATTGAAAATGATTTACGATTCAATTAGCAAGCCACCTAAATTAATCACATAACATTTGCCAGTGGTGTCAACAAAAGTGTTCTTCAGCTCCAGCTGCGAATGTCCCAGAAAAAAGATGAACAACTATTAGTATAAATGTTGAGAATAAAGCATATGACAGATTGAACTGCCAAAAATAAACTCCATAAGCATTATTGTGACTTGAGGATTGGGGCAAAGCAAAAACGGTTAGTTGTGTTCCAGTTATAAAACCAAAGTCGGGTTATGAATCTAAATTTCTGAAACTTCAGAAACAAAAGGAGACAAATAATCTAGTAAACACACATTTTCAACTATATCAATGTTCACCAGCAACCTTTTTGGTTTCGACTTTCCTTAATTCCTCCCCAATTTCGTACTAGTATTTTGTATCTACCATAATGTCACATTTTCCTCTACCAAATGAAGCTTTTTCCAGGAAACCCTTAAGTTTGCTGTCACTGCAAGTTTCTCTCTAACAGCAACATTTTTTTTTCATATTCCTCTGTTAATAGCAAGTTACTCTTGAGCACTGTCAATCTGTAATAGCTGCCCCCACACACTTTCTTCTCAAAACTACCAATCTCTATCATCTTGTTAATTTGGACATTAAAAACAAAGTCACATGCCAAATACTTCCAACCATGACATTTAAGATTGTATATCCACTTAATTTTCACATCTTTTGAAAGTATTTTAACATCACAGAAAAATGCCCATCTACATAGTACATGATGCTTGAGGACTACTAACATATGATATTAGGTAATGAAAATTAAAATTGAAAGCTTGCCAGCATTATTTAAATAGAAATGCATAGGACTTTAGGAGCACGTGGCTCAAAGCTAAAAATCACATTTCAGCAAACTAGAAACTTTGATGATCAAAATGTTATGGTGTCTTATCTACCATATTTTAACAATTTAGTCCAGTCTCAAATTAAAAAATAAAGAGCAAACTGAAATTGATGCAGCGGCCCTGCTAGCTCGGGTAAATGCAATTTGACTAAAATCTATGTTGCCTTAAACATTAACAAAAAAGGCATTTTGTCTACAGATTATGTTTAGCTTAAACATAAAAAAGAGCTGAAGTACCTTTAGGCTTTAGCTGGTGTGGTTGTAGGCTCATCCTGAGGCTTCATAGCAGGGAAGAGCAAGACTTCCTGTACATGCAACACAAGAAGTCAGGCCTCAAATAGGCAACCATGAAATTTAGGACTACAGAATTAATTAGTCGCATGCACCAACATTCACATGCAGAGAAAGGTGTGCACAAAGAAGGAACCAGAATTTAACCTTTATATTTTGGGAATCTGTCAGCATCATTGTAAGTCGATCAATACCCATTCCCCATCCACCAGTAGGGGGAAGCCCATACTCAAGAGCTGTACAAAATGTCTCGTCCAACGCCATTGCTTCATCATCACCAGATTGTCGATCCTGAAAAATAGACGAGAATTTTAAAACAATCTTGGATACTGAGATAACCAATATTTCAGTAATTAAGATCAAGCTTTCAGCACCTTCAGTTGTTCAGCAAATCGCTGGCGTTGTACAATAGGATCATTTAGTTCAGTGTACGCGTTGCAAAGCTGAGCAATGAAAAAAAAACACTTAAATTAAGCAAAATTGGAAGAACGCCAATGAAATGAGAAGGACAAAGGTCAGGGCGCCAGCCACATACCTCATGCTTGTTCACAAACAATTCAAAACGCTCAGTCAACCCAGGCTTTGACCTGTGCCATTTAGCTAACGGACTCATTATCTCTGGATGATTAATGATAAAAGCTGGATTTACGCAAGTTTCCTCCAAAAAGTGTCCCACCAACTGCAAATAAGATTAAAGCATAGTAAGTTTCAGAGGAGAAGTGGGGGGATAGGGTGGGAACAAAGCAGGCACAGAACCAGGGGGATGCAAACAGCTGAAATAACTGATGAGGCAAAACTGTACTTATTTATAATGGAATAATATAACCCAAAACAATCTTTTTGTTTTTTTCACAAAGGCTAACAGGCCTAACCTATGTTACTCGGACTCTTTCATTTACCTCACGTGTCCGTGTCGACACGACTCATGTCAGACACCGACACCGACACCGACACTTGGATACTTCATTTTTAACTAAAAACACAACTTTTTTCAAGAAAATGGGCGAGTCCGATGCTTGGACACCCGTGTCTAATTTGACACTTCATCCGAGTCCAAGTAACATAGGGCCTAACACTATGTTTGGATAGCAATTATGAATGGATAGCAATTATGAAGGGAAAGGGAGCGTAGTGGAAGTAAAAGCAGGGAGGGAGAGGGTAAACTTCTATTTTCTTTCTAAATCTTTCCAATGTTGAAAGGATTTCATTTATTAAAGTTGAAGGAAAATGCCAATTCCTCCCCTTCCCTCCTTTCATATGCTATCCAAATAAGGGATGAATATTCCCTCTTTTTTTTTCCAACTAAATTCCACTACTTTTTTTTTAATCAACCAAAACCCCACTATTCTTTGTATGACAAGTTTTAAAGTGCTCCTTAATTTGGAGAACAAATCCTAAATTAATTAGTCACAGCCTAAACATTGCTTTTGTCATAAGAAATTAGTCTCTCTCACACACACATACACATACACATGGGCCTGTAAAGAAAACTGCCCACAGAACTTCCCTTGAGCTTCACCAAAAGCAGACAGCTATTGCCAACAAGTATGCAACACAAATGGTTTCCAACAGCTATTATCAAATACAAATATTGGATTTCAGGTTAAACAACCACAAACATTAGAAAAATTTGCCAAACAACAGCACATGCTATAAGATTTGCATTAACCATCTCAAATAAAAGGGTACTTTGATGTCAAGGCAATGTAGATATAAATAATATTTCCACGTCCATATCATCATAGAGAAAAATAGAAACTCACTTTATCCAATAAACGAGTAGTTGTTTGTGGAGGTGGGCATTTCACATCATACTTTGCACATGCATTGATCAAATATTGAGTAGTCTCTTCACTAGCTAAATCCTGGGGTATGGACAGATTTGCCATTTTCTCTAATTCCTCTATCATGTCAATCCTCCTGCAATATAAGGATTCAAAGGGTATTTAATATATGCAATTTTCAAGACCTATTATTAAAACACTCTAAGTAAAAATAATCAAGATGGTATTAACAAGACACATACCTGTATGGAGGAGTGAAATCAATCTCAATAGGCTCCTTATCTAGCCCATTTGCATGAAACTTAATGACATAACCACCAGTCAATTCCTTCACCATCCCTGTTGGAACACAAATGGTAAAGAACTTAAGACCATGCATGGAGAGAGGGAAAAAAAAGAGTTCACCAAGATTATCTATCTCATAGGTGCTTACCACTCAATAACTTTTCAGTCATCTCCATCAGATCATTATAATCTGCAAATGCCATGTAAAACTCGCATGAGGTGAACTCAGGGTTATGTGTCAGGTCGATACCCTCATTTCTAAACAGCTTCCCAATTTCATAGACACGGTCTAATCCACCAACAACTAGCTCCTTCAGATACAGTTCGGGCGCAATACGCATATATAGCTTCATATTTAGGTCATTGTGATATGTCACAAATGGGCGAGCAGCCGCACCACCAGGAATCATGTTCATCATTGGTGTTTCAACCTGAAGTGAAGGAAATAAATCGATTTTGCATTATAAATAGTTGATGAGTGTTTCCAGGCGTAAGAAAGGATTCCAGAGATGAAGGATGATTTAGCCAGTTCCATAATGACAATAAGATAATTAAGAAAAAAATAACAATGTAGAACATGAAATTTCAGCAAATACTCCACTGATTTATGCATCAAAATTCTAACAAGTATGCCATTATGAAAGGGTAAGGATGTTTATAAGCTAATCGGGTTTACTAGAAGTCTAGAATTCACCCATTAATCAGAAGATTGCAAATGGAATTGCCAAATCATATTTATTCCAGATAAGGGACTGAGCATTTTCGAGAACATTAACAGTTTATCCATCTTGATAGTTTTATAAGAAGAGAAAGGGGCAGAGGGTAATAACTTTAGAATAAATAAGACATTGGTAAGGGATCTAGTTAGAGGATGTACTTATTTCCTCTACATAAAGATATAATGGGTTGTCATAGGTTCCTCCATCAAGCCCTAGCAGCCATCAACACTACCTCACCTCATCCACCAATGATTTATCTTTGCCTGTATTTGAATCTTAATAGCTCTAATTCATTTTACTCGATCCTTCTGCAGTCTCAGTATTAGTTATTAACTAGACATAACAGGCCTCAACAGGAATCAGCATTGGTTCCACCCAGCCACCATCAGTTTATCCATTACTGCATATATTAATCATCCGGTAACACTTCAAGTTCATGGAACCTCTGATTTTTATTAAAGGGGTTCGCCTGTCTAAGGGTTTTGGTTCTTAGTGTTGTAAGCTTCTCATTCCATACACATGCTAATACGCACATTTTCCATTATGTCCAATCCAGCTCTTCTAATATAACACATTTCTGGCCATGTCTAATCCTGCACTAACTTTTCAGTCCGCAAAAAATCAAAACAATGGCAAGTTGGCAACTACAGACTTTAAAGCAAAAGCTTGGGTTAAAAAGTAAGGAGATAATTAGAAAAGGGAAAATATAGGAAAAATAAAGACCAGATAAAGCCCCTAGAGGCACGATACCAAATTCATTGATAACCACTCTGCCTAGCAAAGGCAAAGCAGGTGGCTATACCAATCCAGAATACTATTATGACAAATAAATAATGACAGGCACAATAAGAAAGTGAACAGCTACAATGAAATACATGGTGACATATTACTAGTAAAAAATGAGCAGAGTAAACAGATATTTTGCGGTCCCAGTAAGTGCTGATCAGATGCAGTTTTGACCTGCAATCTGTACTTCAATGATTAAGCTATTAATGATAATTTGCTATAATCATCTGATGGTAAGAGTAGTGCCTAGTGCAGTGTTAAAATTATGATGTTATCAGTTTCCCATGCACATGACAAATATTTCCTTGATGTTCAGCATAATAAACTATTAGTACAGAACTAACAAGCACAAAACATTTATTGTTGTGAGGATCAAAGAGAAGAAAATGCTAATCCCTTAATCACCCAAAAATAACGAAAACATAGAGAAAATTTTCTTTTCAGAACCAAGAGGATAGCACAAATTTTCAACAGAGAAGAAACAGAAATTTACCTCTAGGAAACCAAGATTGTCAAGAAACCTCCTGATATATTGAATAATCTTTGAACGGGTCCTGAAAATTTCTCTGACCTCAGTATTTAACATCAAATCCAGGTATCGTTGACGATAACGGGTTTCCTACAAATAAAAAGAGAACAAACATGCAATCAGCATGGCTACAAAAAAAAAAGAAACCTCTTTTTTTTTCCAAACAAAGAAGTAAAAGCTGTGCAGGAAACAAAACAATGCTTCATTCCCATACACAGCAGACAGCAATAAGCATTTTAAAATTGTACAGCTTGGCAATGCTTAATTGCTTGACATTCCTATAGAGAAAACCTCAAACATTAAAATGTAGTGTCATACCCTATACAAAGAATTATGCGGACCGTAAAATAATATCCAATATATTAGGACAACAAAATAGATAATCTTCCTTTCTGTGAGAACTCCAAAGACTAAATTAGTTCAAGGGATTCTAGAATGAGGTATGGGTTTGAAATGGATAATGCCCATACCATGCACGTAGTTGACAAAATACTTCCTCCGTTTTTCATTAGTTGATGAACTCAAACCATCTCATCATTTTAATTCTCTCAAGTCTTAAATTTACTCTTTCCCCATACATTTGTTCCCCTCTTTCTCCACAGAAAAAACCAGTAGGCATATTTGAACAAACCATTCATTTGATACAGATTGATTCGGTGAGAAGCAATGGTCAACAGACACCAGAAATCAGAAGAGCAACAACAGCCAGCGGATAGAGCCAAGCATGGTTAGACGCTACGAGAAAAGAATAGGAGACAGCCGCTACACTATTTCGGGTCTGTTTTTTTTATATTGGTTTCTGGAAATTGGAAAGAACGACAAAGCATATCAAGGAAATTTTGGTTACGGATAACAAATGTACATTTCCAAATACAGTTCCCTAGCAGGGAACTCAAAGGAAAATGTTCATGTTACAAGTCTGCAGCTTACTGCAAGTAATGATGGCAAAAACAAACAGGATAACAGGGATTGAAATATTTAGTTCGGCTACAGCATTAAATCATGAATAGCTTTTCACATTTACATTGTAAAATCTGAACCAGCAAAGCATCATTCAACCAGAGCACAATAGCAATTATCATTAAGTGGTCAACCAACACTATACACTACGACATAATTGTATGAAACTATATAATTAGTAATGGTGCAATACATTAGGCGGCAATACAGTGCTATGGAAAAGGGAGGAAGACTTCCTCAATTAGGAATTTGATTAAATGCACAAGCCCATAGCTCCTAAAGTAAAATGGTATAACATAGGAGCCAGAAAGCTAATTGCATGCTGGCGGGATGAAGTAAGCAGAGGGAACAGTCAAATGTATAACTTTGCAAAAAAAAACTCTAGTACCTGATCCTTCAAGATGTACAACTCAGGATTTCTTGTACTTCCTGGGACCCAGACTTCACCTTTCTGAAATAGAATAATACATTATAAGTAGAGCTGGAAAGCTAAATTGGCACTGCTCAAACAAAGGTAAAATTTAACTATCTTTACATTGGCGTTCTCTGAAGCAGCAGCAACACCAGGCTTCTGTCTAGGCATCATATGGAGGCAATGAGATAAAACAACAAAAGACTTGGGGAAAATACTTAGTTCCCCTCTCTTTGTTTTCCCTGCATCGGAAGAAGATATGTCAGTCCATGAGGAAAGGCTGACAAGATTGACTGCTCATATAGGTAAGGTGACACTGCATAGGAAACTCAAAGAAGACTAGGGGGAGAATTGATCTACAACTCTATAATAAAACTTCAAAAAACAACTGACATTGAACTTTCTATACTTCCCTTACAGCAAGAAGTTAAAAATTGACACTTAAACATCCATCCATTTGAAGTTTTACAAACCTAATGGTAACATTAATGAGAAACTAAGTACTACGTATTAAGTATTTAAATTAAAATTTTACACAGGGACACCTGGCAAAAAAAATGTAGTTTTGCAAATGCTAGACATATCTCACCTACCCTAACAGTTCCCCTCCTTCCTCCCCACCCCCTAAAAAATATATATATACGTCGGATGCGTGTTTGTGTAAAAGATAGATAAAACAATACAGAGCATTTATCTCCAAGCATTAATTGAACAGAGACAAGCTTTTTCAGACAAAATCATAAATTTTAAAACACAAACCTGGGAATCCAGTTACACCAACTATATCACCACGTTTCACAGAAGCGTGGAACTTTGAAAATTCAGCTTCGTCCAGCTCAGAAGTCCTGCAAAATGTAAAAGTTACTAGTGTAGAGTAGATTTGGAGAGACCTAAAGATGAATTCCATAAAAGTAACACCACCATACTACCTCACCACCCCAACCCCTTACCACCAAAAAAGCTCCTTATGTAGGAGGGTGTCATGTATCTTGTTTCATTCATAAATTCTACGAAACAAACATTACAACCATGTATGCATTATGTGAAAGCAGAAGATCAATAACATGGTAAACAATTACCTGGCATCAGCCATCACTTGGACTTTGACACCTTCGCCATGCAAATCATAAAAGAAAAGCTTTGAAGATGATGCACGCTTGCTCATGATTCTCCCTTAAAAAGAAAAGACAACACATACAATATCAAAAATATGCTAATCATTCAACGACCCTCTAATTTGCCAAAAAAACTTAACATTCCCTACCAGCTATTGATACTTGCACATCCTCAAGATGGTCCCCATTGTTCAAAACACCATACTTCTGAATATATTCAGGGATACTCAATGTAACAAAGAACTTGTGTGGGTAGGGATTGATTCCTGCCGCCTTCTGTGCATCCAGCGATTTCACCCTGTTCTCAAAGTATTGCTGCCGCAAAACGAAAAAACCCACAATTCAATAAAATCAACAAAACAATCCTGTCTTCAAAAGATTTGCCTAATAACAATCGTGAACACGACCATGAACTAATCAAAGCTAACAAAAATGTCGAATAAATTACATACAGTAGGGTCCATATCCTCATCGTCAGCTAATTGAGCCTTCTGACCTTGAGAGCTAGGCATTGCAGCCTACACACAAAACAAAAGTTTCAAAACAATTAGCAAATAAAATCATTAAACACTATATATAGAGAGAGTGTTTACAAGACTAGTCTTAAATCTGCGATAAATATCATCTTACTATAATATCTATATCTATCACTCACTAAGTAAGTTGCACTTCTTTCCGGATAAAATTCAAATAATTCGAATCAATTCCAAAGAATTTACACAATATTCATACAAAAACTTCACAAAATCAAAATGTCAGAATACAATTTACAACATTATAATCACATTTACCAAAATTAACTCAAATTCCAAATAATTGATAACTACACCTACTTAGCAATTCATATTCATATACTATTGATTCATAGAAAAACTTCCAACAACTATAATTCTGGTCTAAAATGTAAACACAATTCAATCAAAATAACAAAAAAAAAAAAAAAAAAACCAAAAAAAAAAATCACAAATTATCCAAATACCTGCTTAGCAGCCTTCTCCTCCTCCTTACGACGACGCTCTTCTTCTTTCTGCTTGTTCTTCATTTGCTTCTTTAACGCACTAATTCCAGAAAAACAAAATCAATCAAATTGCAGTACAAAAATTAAAAAATAAAAAATAAAAAATGAACGAATTGGATGAATTGATACTTCTTGCTGAGTTCGGGTTCAGGATTAGGGTTAGAATCCATAGACAAATTAGCGACGGACTTGGCAGCGTCGTCGGCCGGAGACGCCATGAATGACGACGGAGAAGAAGAAGAGAGGAGAGAGAAAGAGTGCGGTGGTTGAACAAGGGCGGCGCTGAGAGTGAATACAGTGAGATAGAGAAGGAAGGTGTTAGGGGTTTTGGTTTGGGCTTTACAAATGTTTCACTTCGTAGAGTTATTTTATGGAGACATTTTTTGTTAAGTAAATAATACTAACAATTTAATAATTACTTGGACACCAAGTAATTTAAAAAAATGACTTCTCAATGTTTAATTTAAGAGTAACTAATATTTACCCCGCACGATGTACGGGTTGATTTTTTTGGTTAAATCAATCAAAATCTTAATCCCATAAATGAGATAATTTTTTGGTTAAATATATGTTTTCAATTAAATACTTGTACTATTATGTATTTGGTTTGTTCTTTGATTTTTTTTTAAATCAAAATATGTGTTGATATAAATTGTATTTTATTAGTAAAATGAAATACTATGTAAAATAATGCAATGCTGTAGGGAATAAATTTCAAGCGTTAACCCCTAGCTTGAACCCCACTGTGATCATACACTAAAGTACGGTGGCGTCCAAAAGGGAAGAAGATAGAGCAAAAGAGTCGCCAACAAGTTTTAGGAACTTGTAAACCGTTCATAGGATGAAGGTTACACCCCTTAACGATCCAAGAGATCGTCAACTCCATAAGGTCTTGAACCAAATAAGGGTTGGGGGATGAAGGTACAAATCCAACCTAAAAGAGATTGAACCTGCCCTAATAATAGGCCTCTACTTTATTCTGATCGTATTCATGTGCGCTTTTTAATTAACATGCAATCAATAGGTTTAACCCTAAACCTGTTTAATCTATGTTGGTTGAATATTAATGCACAAACAAACTATTATTGGCGATCACTTGAATTATAACCATAATTAACCCTAAACAAGATTATTAATTATCTTATTAAGCGTGATTACAAGTACCAAATTCCCTTTAACCTAGTACTGGCACGCATCCCAAGGCATATAAATATGCCCATTAATCCTCATTAAGGGGGATTACGCACATTTAACACTCTCACCTAGAGAGACCCAATTACTTTTATTTCCGCATTAATTACTCCTTAATCAAGTACTAACTTGACCGTCGGAGGCGGATCTCCAATCGTCCGGAGCATCCGTTTGTTTTGCAGGTACAGGCGTTCGGTTCCAGTCTCAGAATTGTAACTCTCCCGCAGGACATCAGAAAACCCCGAAACATTTTGGCGCCGTCTGTGGGGAGAGTACTTCTGAGATGGCATCCACGTCTGTACCCTGGACGACCCTCAAGTTCAGTCGGACCATGATACTGAGGAAGAATTTGAAGTTGAAGCTCACACAGCTTCAGACGGGACCCTAAGGGCCCGACACACCCGTCATACCGAAAGGAGAGAACGGGAAGATCTTCAAACTGGACTCAGTGATCCAGCCGGCGCACCGCCTATTCAGCAGCAGCCGGCTAATGGGTCTGCTCCCATTACAAGAAACGAACTCGTGACCTTCATGAGGGGCTTCAAGGGAGAGATTCAAGAGTTGCTCAACAAGAAGCCGCCTGCTCTGGCCAAGGAGCAGTCGGCTAAGAAACCTTCCTCTTCAGGGAAGAGGAAGCCTGTTCAAGAACGAGAGGCGACCCCTCATCCTAACTCTAGAAAGTGGAAGCCGTCTGTCCTTGATTTCACAAAGTACCGCTTTCCTACTCCAGGAAAGAGGAAACTTGTTCGTCATATTCAGGCGGACGGGTCGAAGAAAACATACACAGATGCTCGGCTATTGCTAGAGCAGAAGAAGAATGACCGATTGTCAGAGTCGGCCTCTACTTCAGACTTCCAAGACAGTCTGCGCAATACCTCGATGAGGTATACTCAGTCGCATCATGAGAGTCAGGCAGGCGGTACCTCCCGTCAGTTCGGCCTTCATAGTGACCAGGCGGTACCAAACTTACCATTTATACCGCAACAACAATATTTTTCGCAGCCACCTCTGTTTGGAGGGTATGCAGCAAAGAATGTCCAACCTATGGACTGGCAGCTACGGTTGCTTAGACTTGGGGAACAGTCGTCGGCCTTCTCCAAGGAAATTACTGAAGCCGCTCAGCCGGCCAAAGTGAAAAATGTATTAGTAGGCGCCTATGACGGCACTACCAACCCAGAAGACCATTTGATGGCATTCACCAACCTGATGTACCTTCAAGGGTTGGATGATCCCACTTGGTGCAAGTGTTTTCCAGCGACTCTCAAAGGAATCGCACAACAATGGTTCGGCAACCTGCCGACTGGTTGTGTGAATAACTTCAGGACGCTTGCTTACTTATTCACCTCCAACTTTGCCATGAACATACCTGCGAAGAAGACGACCCTTGATTTAGGAACGATTCAGCAGGGCGAGAAGGAGGGGCTTCGTTCTTACATCAGGCGGTTTAACCTGATGAGAATACAGATTCAAGGGTTACCGGATGAGGTAGCCTATACTGACTTTTTCAGAGGCCTCAAAGACGGATCGACATTCAAATTTGATTTGGTTCGAAAGAGGGTGGCGACTCTTCAAGAGGCCTTGATTGAAGCGGAAGCCTATATACAGGCGACTTATCTTTGTAGTACGGGAAAACAGTCGGACGGGAAAAGGTTCGACAAAAGAGAAGGACGACAGAAACAGTCGTCGAACAAAGATGAGAAGAAGAGAAGAGAGGTCTGGGCGGCTGATTCCTCTAAACAGCCGGCCCAGAAGAAGAGGAAAGAATTCAAACCATACTCCCCAAAGTATGCGTTTAACAAGGATAGCCAAGCTATCCTAAAGGAAATCAAGGGACGGATCTCAATTGAGAAGCCGGCCCCCATGAAGGGTTCTGCGAGCAACCGGAACCAAGAAAAATTCTGTGATTATCATGAAGATGTTGGTCATCACACCAACGAATGCATCAGTCTCATGCGGTATCTGGACCGCCTGGCTGAGCAAGGCGATCTTGACTCTTATGTCAAGAAATCTGCGGGGAACACTTCCTCGAAAAAGCAGTCGGCCAAAAAGAGTCAACAGGCCGACAGCTCTGATACAGATGATGCAGTCGACTACTTCACTAAATGGGTGGAGGCGGAGGCTGTAAAGGGAATCAAGACGAAGGATGTAATTTCATTCATCTGGAAAAATGTCATCACTCGGTTTGGGGTTCCCATGTTTATGGTATTTGATAATGGTCCCCAATTTGAGACGCCTGTTCTCAAAAGCTGGTTGGGTGACCAAGGAATTGCACACCACTTTGCATCAGTCGGCCGTCCACAAGCAAACGGCCAGGTAGAAGCCTTTAATAAAATCATCTCAAACGGTCTCAAGAAAAAGATTGAACGAGCAGGCGGCCTATGGGCGGATGAATTACCACATGTTCTCTGGGCCATTAGGACGACTGAAAAAGGGGCGACTGGAGAAACTCCCTTCCTCCTAACCTATGGTGCGGAAGCTGTTCTTCCAATTGAACACTACGAGTCGACTCTTCGAGTAATGCTATATGACGAAGAGGCAAACTGGGAAGCCATGCGTCTGGCATTAGACTCACTCCCAGAAAGGAGGGGCAATGCTGTCTTGCGCCATGAAATTTACCGCCTGAGAATGACCAGATCATACAACAAAAAAGTACACAGGCGTCCACTCAAAGTGGGGGACTTTGTACTTAGAAAAATGGAAGCAGTTGGTAGGGCTAATGAGTCTGGCAAATTAACTCCCAACTGGGAAGGACCCTACCGAATCTATGAAGAGGTCAGGGACGGTACCTACCGTCTGGAAACACCAGACGGCCAACCGTTGCCTCGAACCTGGAATGTAGATAATCTTAAGAAATATTTCTTTTGAATGATGTAAATAGTCGAGGGCTACTTAATAAAAGTTTGCTGTTTCATTCAATTTTGTACTAAGAGGGGCATGCCTACTGACAAACAGTCGGCTACTCTCCATGTTTAGTTTTCATTCTTACTTAAGAGGGGCACGCCGCTTGTTCCACACAACCGGCTACTCTCCCATAACACAGTTCACCAAGAACTATCAAAGGCTCATGGCTGAAATGATCAGACCAGGCGCCAAGCCAACTGATCCAAATATAAGTTTAATTCGACCTGTCCCAACATTATAGCAGGCGTCCGACGGCATCCATCCGGATGAAATTCGTCGCAGAGAGCAGCTCCCTTTTGGGTGGAACATTGTTCTATAAAATCATCACACGGCACCTATACGACTGTCTAACCAAGACAACCACATAGTCGTTTCCCGGACAAGGATACCTCTCATTTAACTAACTAATCAGGTCAAACAAGTGTTCGCAGTAACCATCCGTGTCAACCAACCGACTGAACTACTTGGGATAAGAACAGTCGGTATCTTATGAGTTAATAGCCAACAAACATTGGCGAATAAAGGGGAACAACCGGTACCCACCGCTTGAAACCTCTATTACTCAGTCACTCGGCGACTAGGTAACAATCATGTTTACTTGGTCACTCCTTAAAAATTTAGTATGAAACTAAAAAGGTGTTCATACAGCGCCTGTTCACACTAGATTAAATGTGGCGGGGAACAGTCGGCCTGGACCGACTAGAGTCTCTAGCCTAAAAAAAAACAAAAAAAAACAAACAAGGCAGGTAGGAAACCACCTTCCTACTTGGTTGAAGGGGATCCAGTCTTTAAAGTGGTCGACTGATCGCTTAGCCTGGAAACATACAACCAGTCGTCCAGGGGCATAGGTGGCGTGACTAACTACCTCGTACCTGTCCGCAACTATCGGCCATGCAAAACAGTCGGTATAGTATGCAATTGGATATTAGAGTTTCGATACTTAGCAAAGTCGAAACAAATTCGAAACGAAAAAATTCGAAACATTTTGGCAAAAAGGCGACCTAAAATAATGGTCGCCTGAGTTATATTAACAGCCGGCCAGAAAGACCGGCAAAATATTCAAAACCCCGGCCCCCTGGACGGGTAAACAGAAACAAACGGCACGCAGGCCGTAAAAAGAAGACATAAAGCTTAAGAAGGGGGCAGATATTCAATAATAGCAGCTGCCGCCTGGTCAGCACTCTTTTTGCTGGACTCGGCTTCAGCTGCATCCTTCTTCGATGCATCCACCCCAAGCGGCACAAGCGCCACTACCGGCTCCTCCTCCTCCAACGCCTCG